CGGCCAGGCACACGTGACACAGGAAAACATAAGGTGGGTCTGGAGATCCAAGGTCTGAGTGAGCATTACAGCGACCACAAGGAGACCAGTGCCAAGGTTCCGGCAGCAACTCCCAGAAAAGGCAGAGGCTGGACTTGGCTCCATCACCACCACGTGAGCACGCGGGCGGCACGGCACTGTGGCTGCTCAGGAGTGAGCGACAGCTCTCTGCCACCGCTGCCTTTCTGCTGCACAGTCACCAAGCCCACGAGAGCCAGGACACAAACCTGACGTGGCTGTCACTTCAGTTACAGGCTCCAGCCACTCAGCAGGGAACCTCTTCCAGCCTGGCATAACACCAGCAACAGACAGCCTTCCCAGGAGCGCCGTGTTCTGCTTACACTCCTGCCCTGGGAGGGGAAGGTACCACTTGTTATGATGCCACCTAGCTATGACTAATCTATCCTTTACTATTAGATACTGTGCCTGCCCCGGAAACAAATAAATCCGTATACAGATCCACGAGGACATACCAGTTCCTTCCAGTGCTAGCTTTGTGCAAAGCATGGCTGAGTCACAGACTACAAGATGTTTAGCCTGCTGTCCGGGCAAGTGAGATGCTGTGCAGCTGATCCATCAGCTGTTATGGAAATAGCTGGCCAAGATCTAAGACCCAAACTCCCGCTAGAGTGGGCTTAGCAGGTGAGGGAAACATCTGTCCCAAAAGAGAAGTCTTGGAACTGAGTTCCTCCATTGACTATGACCTCAGCCTCAACACCATGGATGTGAGAATATGCTTTGTCATTAGAGCAAGGTGTGAGTGTGTCAGGCCTCGGTCCTGCCTCAGACCTTCGCTGCCCACACAGGGTCAGCTCCCAGCAGTCACTGCCTGTCACTGCCAGCGCCCTGTGGAGGTGTGTGACAAGGATCAGCCCTTGCATCACAGCACACCCAGGCCCCAGGACTCTCGGTGCTCTAAGGATACACGTGTTCACTTTGGACTTTCAGGTAGCTTATGTCATACAATAGAATCACACGCTCCCGGTGAGGAGGTGGAGAAGTGTCAAGCAGAGGGAGGCCACGACTTGTTTTGTTACCATAAGGAAGTCTCTGCTCCTGTGGGGACTCACCCGCTGAGCTCACTCAGAGCACAGCCTGGGTGAAGGCAGCAGGACCAGGCTATAAACAGGACAGGACAAGGTCAAAGAGAACTGACAGCACTAGGAGAAGAGCTGGGGAGAAAGGGAAAGAACATTCTCCTTCACTCAGTCCCAGAGCACATCCAGGCATTGCCCAAGCAACAAAACATCCCATAACAACACACCATGGAGTGTGTGATCTGCTCCTCAACTCACACAACCTCCCCCGTACACCTGTCACTACCTGTGACTTCACCTTGGAGAGAACCACATCAGCTTCACCTAAAGGCAGCCTGAACTCAACGCTTTGACACAGATTTCCCAGTAGCTTGACAACGCCCGTCCCAGAGCGCGGCGCCCGATGCCCGATGCCCTCCCAGCCCTGCCCGCGGGAACAGGGACCTCTCCGCTTACCGAGGAAGAGCAGCAGGCTGCGGGCCCGCAGGCAGCCGGCGTCCATCGCCCTCGGTCCCCGGGGAGCAGAGGAGGCGGCAGGAAGGCAGGTGGCGGAGCCAGGAGCAGTGTGGAGCCGGCGGCCGGCCGCATCTTTATGTGCCGGCGGAGAGGCGGGGCCCCGCGGCGGCGACACCCGGCCCGCCCGGCGAGGGGCAGCGGCTCGCCCGGCCTCCTGTCGCTTCCTGCCCCGCCGCCCCCGACGGGACGGGACGGGACGGGACTGGCCGCCCCCGCTCCTGTGCCCGCGGGCGGTGCCCCGACGGCGGGCAGGGGGAGCGCCGCGGTCCGGCTGCCCCGGCGCTTCGGCGGGGAGGGGAGGGCAGCCCGGGCCCCTCCGGCCGTCGGCTGTTCCCCGGGGACATTCGATATCCCTCGTTCTAGCGAGTATCTCTGCAAATAGTCCTTGGGGCTGTAAAACCACCTGTCCCCTCTGAGCAATCTGGCCAAGGCAATGATGCCCGGGATTTCCCAGGGCTGTGGATGCCCACGGCTGATGGCACAGCCTTGGCACCGCTGCCTTTGCTTGCCCTCAGTGCATCCATGCAAAATGTAATGGCACGAGGCTCGGGAGCCAACTGCTGCCCAGATGGGCTCTGCTGGTGCTCAAAGAACCACTGGGCCATTGCACTGCCATGAACATCACCTGTGCCTAAACCAAGGCTTGGAAAATGCCTCAGGGTGGGCAGCGGGAAACTTGCTGCCATCCCTAATCTCCAATCTCCTGGCACTTCTGAGGTGACCCTCAGCACATCTGTGGGGCTGCCAAGGAGCTCTGGGGCCAGGGGCAGAAATGGTCTATTAAGTTACAGCACAGGCCCCAGGAATGCCAGCACCTCACCTGGCACCTGGGCTGCCTGCAATGGTCACGAGCTCAGGGGGTGTTTATGCCACGTTTCCCCTCCGGCCTTCGGCCTTGTCACAGCCCGGTAGCACGGGCAGTTCCTGGAAGCAACACATCTTCCAGTTCCCTAAACAGCAGCCAACCAGTTACAGCTCCTTCTAAGAAAAATGCAAGTAATCCACTGAAGCCCACGCACTCTCATCGCTACATTAGGCAAGGCCTCATTCGGTGCTTACAGCCCACCATCGATGGCTGAGGGGTCCCCCACCATCAGATCCCTTCTGCACGCATTTGCCTGAAACACAAAGTGTGTTTTGGCTTAACAAACTGTTCAGCAATGTTGGTTACCTCTTTTCCTCTTAAATGAAAAATCCTCCTCCCCTGCCTTACCGCCTTCCATCATCAATAAAGGCATGCTGATAAGCAATTTAACCTATCTCAGAGTGAAAGGAGTCTGAGTCCTGGCACTGAGGTGCACTGGAACAACTGATGACTCAGGCACCTATAGTTTCTCCATTTTATAAGCAGCTATTGATACAAGAGAGTTAATTGTAGAAGATACTGCAGAATATGATATACCACAACTTCATGTTTAGATAGCAGTTCTAAGTAATAAAAGCATTAATTCAGGGGGCTGGAATAGATGTGGTACTTACAAATCATACTCCTCCTAATTTTGGGAGCATTTTCTTAGGTCTACAGAGGCATGCAGATGCTGAAAGGAAAAAAGGCAGTGCATTACAACAGAATTGCATGTCAGCACAACTTATTAATGACCTAAACAGTAGGAGAGGTGGCAGGATAAAAGTAATACAGCTCAGTGTGAAAGTAGAGTTTAGATTTCCTCCACAGTAAGTGGCACATGATATAGCTGGAATCTTTTTCTCATTCCCCTTTCTCCCCCCCAGCGCTGGGGTCATGTCATGTATCTTTTTTTCATGCCACGTGACTGTTTTTGTTGTTTCTTTAATTTGGGCTGATGCCCCTTATTAAGGATTTTATTGTCTGCTCTCTCAGGGTTCATAATGAGTAAAGGAAGGAACTGCAGTTATTAGCAAAGTGTTTCTGTGTGTGGGCTTACAGATGCCTTAAAAAGCAGCATCACCATAGAACTTCCACTTTATAATTAATTTTACCCTTAAATTCCTGCATGATTTATCCTCTGAAAGGCAACATTTAATTATAGTCTTGTACCGGTACCCAGATACTAAGTAACGCTGACACAATTGGAGCAATTCATTGGAATTTCCTCTTTCAGATTTGAACACGTGGAAAACAAGTATCATGCACACATCTTTGTTTCATCTTTCTGTAACGTGCTTCAGTTCACGGTGCGTGATTTCGCACCCAGCATCCCCCACCTGCGGCTTTCACCATCCCCTCCTCCACATGGAGGCTGATTCTTGGGATAAGGTTGGCACACACCTCAAGAGCCAGTTTTCCAAGAGGCTGTTCACACTGCGTGGTGCCTTCCTGCATCAATGGGGTCATTGTGAGGCAGGTTCCTTGCATCCCACAGTCTGGGTACGGAGCGACATGTCTGTACAACGCTGAGAGGCAGCACTGGTTGGGCAACAGAGCATCAGCTGCTGGCCTTGATTTCAGCCGCGGTGAACCAGCACACCCAGGGCAAGGCACTGATGGATTTGTGCCCCTTGGCACCAGAGCATTGAGTAGCCCCCTGAATGCTTTGACATTTCGGGATTCTCTTCTTTAAAAAGTGTAACAAGAATATGAGGAAATACCTTAAGAACCTGTGTGAAAGACTGACTTGCTTTTGTGACCTTGCAATGGCTGAATAATCGCCTTTAAAGAAAACCTCTATTCACAAAGCACAGAGGCTCAGCTCAAGTCCACGCTGTGCTTTAGCCCCTCTCAGTGTCACAAGCACTCCTCTCCCCTTTTGGGACGGAGCAGCAGATTCACAGCAGTGACTATTGCAAGGGTATGGACTGAGCTTTGTCTGTTAGTTTATCACTGATGACACAAAGCACTTTCTATGAACAACACACCCTTTTCACCTTACAGAGGAAAAAAACCAGGTTAAATGTAGACTTTTCTGTGGCCTCTATTTTCCTCATGGTGACTTGCTGTAGAAGAATACACGTGTTCACAGCAATGAACTGCCATTTTATCTACACATTTTTACATAACTAAAACCATACATGACAAGTGACTACACCACTTATTTCACCTACTTACTGTAGGACTTGCACCCAGTTTTATGAATTGCTGCTGTGAGGATGGATCTGCATTGGTTTTGTCTGTTGAGAACAAGACCTATTTGCAAAATCAACATTTTTCTTTTTAGAAAGCATTTTTGAAGCTGAAAGAAGATCATTCCTAGTCTTGCTCTGATGCACTCAACACTGTTACACACAGGCACAAAGTAACCAAAAGCAGTATTTTCATAAATTCATGGGAAAATCAGCCAACATTTTTCAAACAGTAAGACAGATTTTTTCATACAGCAAGCTTTCACTGCACAGCATGAGAGATGCTCAAGAAATACTCTCAGAAAGTCAGATGTTAATTGGAGTGCAGCTCACTCCTGAAAGCATTTTCATTTGAACTACACAAGATGAATATTAAGTCCCTGGAGGGATTTACAAGATGTGTAGATGTGGCATTAGTGTCACAGTTCAGGGGTGGGCTTGGCAGTGCTGGAGGAATGGTTGGACCCAACGATCTTAGAGGGTCTTTCCAAATAAATGATTCTATGAAATTCTTAAATGGTCAAAAGCTTGGGGCTCGTGGGAACACAGATGCCCTGAGAAGGGAATGTACTTAACAGGGATACGTAGATGCGACTGTCTGGAGGAAACGGAGTAAAGAAAAACCTTGAGCCAAATGACTCCATTTAAAGGTCAGTCTCAAATTTGCCATGAATCTGAGGGATGAATTAGGTCAATGTTCTTAAACAACCAGTCTCTCCTATAAACTATGAGAGTTCAAGACACTGCACCCAAGGCTGAAAGTGGCCGATGCCTCTTCCTGTAAATGCAGCATGAGGTCAAAGCTACTGGACAACACAGATGTTTTGCTATGAAAACAAAAAAGCAATTCCCCAAATTCATTGATTTCTTAGCCAACTTCTTGGGTCAGTACTAACTAACCAACAACTTAAAAAAGAAAGAGAAAAAGCCCAAACAGCTAATTGTCCTCCATCTCAGAAGACAGCAGTGAAAAGTGGACAAGTCTGCCAGTTCATGCTGGATTCCTCCCTAGAGGACAGTTTTTAAAGTTTCATTCTTCTGGCTTGTATGACTTTTCCATTACTCTCCCCTGGGCAATTCCTGAGTGGCTCAACACATCTCACGGGCAGCAAGAGCTTCACAATGCTCAGCTGGTGTTTTCCCTTTCCTAATTACAGCCTGGTGCTCCATGCTAAGTGATTTCTTAGCCTCCAAGGGGTTGCAGCCTTTTTCATTTGTGGAGTCTTTCCATGGCTTCTGCCTTTACTTGCTGCTAAACCAACCTGTGCAGGCATTTTATCTGTACCCTTATAAAGGATGTTAGCAAGCCCAATTCCTCCATATCCAGTAATTGTTTCTCCTTGCTCCAAATGAATTGTTTAGAATATGGGAGGACCATGGTGGAAGAAATGGGGTTTCTCCCACAGCATGTAGCAGTTGAAAGCAAGCTGGGAGAAGAACACCAGCTCTCACCCATCAGTCCTGTGTGCTGTTCTGCCCATTGACACCTCTTTCGAGTTCATAAAGTCATCTCTTCCATAGCATTTCTCATTCTCCAGGAAGACAAGGATTAACCACTGAGAGACAGAATACATGCAAACATGAAGATTGCCCTCTCTGGCAGCTCACCATGTGCACGCCTGGGTGCAGCATTCAGATCCCTGCTCAGTGGCCAAGAGAACTGAAATTGTTATGTGACAGTGTGTTCCTGGCGGATGACCACATGCCCACCCGCTCAACAGCTCTGCCCAGAGAGTGACATCCACCTCAGGACAGTGAAACGACAGCAAACCCACCGCTGTGGGGACTGGTGTGACTCACCAGCTGCTGTGGAGCTTTCTCCATAGCAGTCCATCCTGGCTGTGGGCTCTCCACCGCTACCTTCCATCCCTCCCCTGCACCTCCCGTGGGGACAGCTGGTGCTAGCATGGGGAGGACAAGAGGAAGGCACTGTCACTGGGAAGCACAGACCTGCTAAGCACAGGGCCAGCCCCTAAGGCCTGCACTAAAGCCTAAGAAATATATGCTGCACTCAAGCCA